TGTGACCGAGTTGACTTGTGGCCGAGTTGATTTGTGGCCGAGTTGACTTGTGGCCGAGTTGACTGTGGCCGAGTTGACTGTGGCCGAGTTGACTTGTGGCCGAGTTGACCTGCACCCTTCTAGCTACGCCCCACCCTTTTGCACAGACTGTGAAGATGTATTTTTGTATAGCTTTTTAACACGTAGTCTTAGCTATTGTTTGGTTTTTTCTGCAGATATTATTCTCCTGACTAAAGACTATTGAAGCAACTCAATCAAAACGTCGAGATATTCTTAACCAACAACAACAGTTGTTTTCAGAACTATGTACGTGGTGTACAGCAAACATTAATATTATTATTATTATTATTATTATTATTATTATTATTATTATTATTATTATTATTATTAGGCCTATTATTATTATTATTATTATTATTATAATTATTATCATTATCATTGTTATTAACATCATCAACATCATCATCAACATCAACATTATCATTATCATTATCATTATCATTATCATTATTATTATTATTATTATTATTATTATTATTATTATTATTATGTACAACGACATCGTCGTGGCGTCGGAAGAGAGGTGGGGTGTCCATGTTTGTAAAGGGTGAGGGATCCAACAAATATAACAATTACTGTGCCATGCAAGCATCGATAATATAGATTAAATATCAAATCCAAACATACCATTGATGTGGTAATACCAGAACCACCACATTTTTGTCCTGGGCTTTTCTAGTCTGTGGACCCAATAGAGAAATTGCTTTGCTCTCTGGAATTATTGTATTATAGGCTAAATATAGAAACCACCAAATTAGTTTATACCAAATCAAAACTTATGACTTTTCCCGGGGCTTTTGTCCCTTGCACCCATACCGGGCGCCCCCCTTTTTTTTTTCTTTTCCAGCAGCGTGGACTCACTTTACTCAAGCAATTTTACCATTATGTCAACATCATCATTACCATTATCATCATCATCATCACTACCTTTATCATAACCATAATTATTATTTCATATTTTTTTGAGCACTTATGTAAACAAAGTTTTGACTGTAGGACCCCCCTCCACAACAAAGCTTGATTGCCCTTGAATCATAGTGTTCTTGTAGGTACTGTAATGTCTTGAAGTATACCTACATGGTCTGTCTGCCCTAAATAAACCAACGATTGACTATAGTGTAATCGGTATAACCCATAGCATAAGTAAACATAACAGGGCACTTAAAAAAACAAAAACAAAAAACGTATATGGTGTTTCCCCCCCAAAAAACATTTAAATAATTATTATTACATTTTCTTTCAAACACAAGGCTAAAAAGCGAAAAGGAAAAAAAAATACATATACAAAAAAGGAACGGATTTTAGTTTGTTAATAAAATTAAGAGAAAATCTTTTCTTTATATTTCCTTTTGAATGGAGAAAGGCATTTACATATTTTTAGATTATCGTCAAGCGAATACATTGCAATTTTTTGCGGTTCTTACTGTATTTAACTTAAAAACATTTCTTTGTCTAGTACTATATAATGTTTTGCGGCTACGAATGTAAAACGTTTCTACAAAGTAAATGGCAATAAAGTATGATGCGCTTTAAACATAAAAACAGCAGTTTTCATATCAATTATTTGTTCAATTTATTGAACAGGGGATCAGTATGATCCAAAAAACTAGCTTTACTTATAATTCTAATTAATCTTTTTTTTTTGTTTTAAAACTAAAGGAACTAAATTTGCTTTTTAAGTATTCCCCCATCTTCGGTACGATAATTTCAATAAGGGAGAAATAAGGAGCAATATACCGTAGCGTATGAAGTGCACGATTATTCAACATTTGACTTACTTTATAGATTATTTCTATACTTTTAGTGGATAAACTTCAATTTGTGATCAATTAGGCCTATGCTTTCCCAGAGTCCACCACTTGAAAGTTCATTGTTCTCCCTTATCACTGTTTATCTGTAGATATATCGTTATTCCTTTATATTATGCCGACTTGCTTTGGACAACAACAACAACAACAATAATAATAACTAGAAATTGCAAATTGCAAGTGAAGTGCTGTGAAGTACAACTGCATTTAAATGTTCTTCGAACAAAATTATTTATGCGAGTCAAGTGAAAATAATGAATAATAAAAATATAACAAATAATATGAGACACGACCCATTGTCTATATTAGAACACTTCTCATTGGGTAACAAAGTCGTACTTTTTCATTTTTGTCAAAAAGTGTCTATAGTGGTGAATTAAGGCCAACTCAGACAGCGTCGGCCGACGCAGCCCGACCCGATTTATCGTCGGGGACAGTCTTAAAGTGCCTCTGCCACCTATTCTGACAATTTTTATAAACTACAGCGTGTTTATATTTATAAATATATTATAAACACAAGTGTTGGTCATGTATTACGAATAAAATTGTTTTTGTACGAAAAAAATGCTCGACAACTAACTCATCATCTCTCAAACATCGTTTTTTAACAAGTCCTAAGTCATTCACCCCTTTTCATGGTTTTACTCCCTTTCTCAGAAACTAAACCCTTCTACATACCTACTGTCTTACACATCCCCATCTCCTCAATTACAATTACTAACCACGATGATTAAAGCACCACAAAACTCACACTTTCACTTCTTGGACATTGAACTTTAAGATGTGTAAATAATTATAATGATGAAACTGACACTGGTAACACTTCCCCCCTTAAAGGAAAGAAAGATTTATGCAATAAATCTTTCTTTGTTTTATACTAAAACAAAAGATAATAATATTGTTGAACATATAGCACAACGTAAAAGGATTATACAGATTATAAGTAAAGGCAATCAAGATTCATGTAAAACAAAGTATACATTAGTTAAAACTAAAATAGAATAATTAAGCAAAATAAAAATATATATGGTAATATATGGATTCAAAATTAATAGGTAATTACATGCAAATCAAGCAGAATCATAAAACTTTCAAATAGCAAACATATCAATTGCTGTCTCTTATACACATCTAGATGTGTATAAGAGACAGCTACTAAATGTATAAAGAATTAAAAAAATTCCACTTCGGGTTTGCTATCTTCACTATCTTCATATGCTTACTGGAATTTCATAGTCAAAAAGTGTAAAATCATACTTATATCTGTGATATAAATCAGCTAAATGAGGGAGTGGAATAGAAGAATATGCTTTATCTAGTTTCGCCTGACTGGAACTATTTGTAAGGTGAGCTCCAGAAGAGTTTGGTAACCTAAAATCAGTAAGATTTGTAAGTGTTAAAATGTATTTTGTGTCGTTTTCCATATCTTCAAAGCGACCTATTACGTCATAATCTATATCACATGGAAAACAAATTTTGTACATTTCGCCCCAATGGCTATTAGGGCCCTTATTTGCTACTACCATGTTGACAAAATGTACGAATTCAATTTCATTGCTTTCCTTCGGCTCTAATCTGAATTTGTTGGTGATTAATTTTCTATACATCTCAAAGCCACTAGCGTAAATTCCATTTTTACTTGCGATTTTATCCTTGTAAGCTGACAACAGTCGTGTTAAAGGATGTCTAACAAACATGAATTTTGTGTACGTGGCCATAATATGTTTCTGTTTTTCTAATGAAAAACTAGAAAGACGTGGCACGTTAGTCTTCCATGCCGCACTCACTTGGGGTGCAGTCATTTTCATCACTTCTTCATAGTTCTTATATCCAGAGAGGATCAGCATAATACGACACCAACTGACGGTACCAGTCTTCGGTGTCTGGCAGTACACCATTTTGTGTTCTTCATTCACTAATAGTCTTGGTTGTGACTTCATCCTCGGAATATAGTCTCGGTAAAGACGACACATCTTTCGGGTGTAGTTATTTCGTTTTCTGTGAATAGCTGAGTACCTTTTCATGAACTCCTCCACCGTCTCTTCTTGAACTTTCTCTGGAGCCTTAATTGTATAAGAAAACGTTTAGCATGTGTATCAGAACGACTTAATGTTTATGAAAACAATATATGATATACTTATCCAACTTATCTAAAGTACAATCTATGGCTTTTTCTAACTCGCGTCGATTACAAGGCAACACTATTTTTCTATCGTACAGTGGTGGAGTCAAGGGTGGGAATAGGGGCTAGCCCCCACCCTCCCCCGCCTATTTTTTTTCAAAGATTATATTATATCCAGAAGTGACATAATCATACATTTTCCTACCTCAACCCCAAACATGGTGGTCTAGACCATGTATCTTTGAAAGGCCCTTCCTGGGCCTTATATTAAATTATTATTTAGGCCCTAGCCTAATCTTATATCCAAGTGACCAATAACATTTTTATTTTTTATTAAATATTTCTGATGAAAATTCACAATATAGCTTATATATGACTTTAGTTTTCTTTATGATTGTTTTAGGATAATATTAATGACTACCTAATTTTGGTCATTTGATGATGACTCCCCACCCAACAATCTAATAATATTTCAAGCTCAAATTTATGTCACAATTAAAAGTAACAATTTAATTGTTTCGTTGACTCAATTAGCAAATAAAAAAGATTTAAAAAGTAGTTTAAGTTCCATTTCCGGTTCCATTAAGAGGTTACAAAAATACTGAAAATGTTCGCATCTCAATGGTAACGTTGAGATGCGGTCCGGACTCATTCCGCACCCCGTTACTTAAATTCTGGATACGCCACTGCTCTTGTAAACAATGTCAGAATAGGTGGTCGTGTTTCTATAAACAGACAATTATTTTGTAAGTACTGAAAATTGGCTGGAAAAATGATTTATTATTTTAGCAATGTTAAAAGTTTTAGAACAAAAGTTAAACCTTTGTTTTATTTGAATAAGAAGGAGAAAATCATCATTGTTTGTCATTTCTGTAATATTAAATTGCATTGGTAGTTTTCACGTCTTATTCAGCTTAAGATCGAACACGCAACCGTTTTATGTGGCTCAAAATGTAGTTTCAATGCGGTTCTTATCTTGTTAATCCGATAATTAAATATGATTGGGCCGTTTCTATCTTGATTTTCAGTAGAAATTAAGAAATAATACCGTAAATTAATATTTAAGAATGGATGTACAGTTACCACATGCTGTTATTTATTCCTAATAAAGGATTTTTTTTGTGATATCCAGTCATCAATTCCTGTACTTGTTTAAGCAACGTTTCATTAAAATATTACTAACACCACCACTAACATTATCGTTACTAAATAAACACAAAACACACACAACACACCACCTTATGATGTGCATTGGCTAATATGTTTATGTTTTAAGCCCTATAAAAAATTTATTAAGGAAAAAATAGCATTAACATCACTATTAATTTATAGTGGTCTTTAATTGGTAGGAAATTTTTCATTTGGGTCCACCAAATCTATGTTCTTTGATCTCTAAATAGAGGGGGTCTTTAATTCGAGGGAACAGCTAACGTTAAATTTCAATTTCAATTCAATTCTCATGGTATTTTATTCAAACATTCAAATACAAACAATACAAAGGTAAAAACGAATTGCCAAATATAACATTGTAGTAATAAGAACTAAATTGCGTTATATTAACAAGCAAAAACACAATAAACATATAAATACTTAAAAAGGGAAAAGGACAACAAAAAAAAAAAACCATTGATAAAGAGAAAGAATTATAAAGACCAAAAGTCAACATTATAAAAAATGACATTCAAATCTTAAATTCAATTATTTATTAGCAATTGCACAGCGGGAAAAAAAAGAAAAAGAAGTAGATGGCCTCGAAAAAAAAAAAAAAAAAAAAAAAAAAAAAAAAAAAGAAACATCCAAACATAATCATAATTAATTTATTATTGTAATAATTGCAATAATTTATACTTGAAATGCAATAAAATGCACGGGACAATAAATAACATTCAAAACTTCAAAATCATTATCATAATAAAAAAATATCTGTTCCAATTCTAAACATTCATTAATTCAGTATTTATTTAAATATTGCACAAGGAAAAAACGTGATCATTATTATTTATTATTATGATTATTACAATAATTCATAATTACGAAGCTGTTAAAGGGACATGGTGTATTTTTAAAAAAACTTAGTAGGCAGTTTTTGCCGCACGACGTTAACCTTACCGTTAACGGATGACGTCATAATTTATTCATCTTGCGTTGCGGAGTACGTAAATTTCAGGATTTTACGTGCTCGACGTACGTTAGTTACAGGTTTGCGCATGCGAATTTCGATTTGTTTACAAGAAGTTGCATATTGGGTACTGACGTTAAAGTTAACGTTAACGTCGTGCGGCGAGAATTATGTAGTTTTCGCCGCACGACGTTAACCGTAACTTTAACGTTAGTACCCAACATGCAGCGCGATAGCTCCGCCCCTTTTGTGATGAATTAGGATAGAATAAGGAGGGCGATAAATAATACCAAGTACTGTACAATTAATATGCTTAGATTTATTACCTATTTCAGTTATTAAACAGTGAATCAAAGTTATCAGTGCGAATTTTACAATTTAAATTGATGTCCTAAATTCAATAAAAATGATGTGTGTTATGTGTGTGTTAAGCCCCTATCACATTTTATTTGACAAAAACATGTCAGAGAAACATGTCATGCCTATAATTTGGTCATGATATCACATCATGACCATATATAGGCACAACATGACTATAAATGGGCATACACATCCTTTTTTGTCAAACACAATTTGATAGTCCGGACCGGGCTTTAAGCTGGTTTTCCACTAGGCGAATTTATTCGCGCGAATCAAAGCGTCGGTTGCTTCCTGAGCTCTGATTGGTTGCGCATTTTTTTGCTTCGCAAAAACTCCGATAGGAATGTGAACGCTCATGCGCATGAACCAATGCTTTCGATCGCGCGAATAAATTCGCCTAGTTGAAAACTGGCTTTAAAGATACGAGTTTCTGTATAAATTTAATTTACACAGCAATGTGCGATGTAAATAGATTTAACTCACCTTTTTGCTTCTATTGCTCACTGCTAGATGCGTTCCAATCAAATTGTAATCTGTTGGTATACGAGAAGCGATATCTCTGTCACAATATTTTACTGGAATTCGATCAGATCACCTTTACTTAACGCAGGGGCACACATAGTTTTTGGGTACTGTGAGTATTGTATTTACAATATACAACTGTTAGATTCGCGGCCAATATGCCAGTTATGTTATAGTCTAAGATTCGTTCTTTGGCTCTAACGAAATCTGATTACGAAATTCCTTTGTTCTTTATTTCAAAAACCACATCCAACAGCAATCAAATGCCAAAAACAAAATGCCTTAAAATTTGTTTACATACACATAAATATATAATAGATATAGGGCTAAATAGAAAAATCGAGATAAATCCTAATCATTTTAGAAAAATGAAGGCAATTTAATATTAATGTATATACAGTATTTGCTTACTTTCTAAGTGAACGTCTTTGATTTCAAAGCTTATCACTATTAATCCAAGGATTGCAACAAGAAGCAGATAAACAGTTCTGTTCACAAATCTCACCATTGCTAAACGTACTTTTTCGTGATTTTTCTCTGTAAATGAAAGAATTGTAACATTATATATATATATATATATATATATATATATATACACATATATTTACACATATATATATACATACATATACATTATATATACATATACACATATACATATATATACACATATATATATATATATACATATACACATATACATATACACATATATATATATATATATACACACACACACATATATATATATAATACTGTACGTTGCCAGTATTGCCAACTGAGGAAATCTGATGAAGGCCAGAGGACTGGCCGAAAATTTCTTTCGAAAATAGTGTTCTATAATAGTCTACATGCTTTGTCATAATTTTTTTTATTTCAACGACTAATATATAATTTGAAGAACACACGTGGATTTACCATGCTCATCGTTTTATATTTTGACATATACGGGGCCAATTTCCTAGGTCCTATATGTTTTCATAAAAGATATGCGCAATTAATAAAACATGAAGCTGAATTAGTAAAACTGGCTGCAGTACAGAGATATACACATAGTGGAGAACAAGGTGGTATAAATATAATTTTACATAAATGTATCTAAAGCTAGTATCTCATATCGTTCATATCATCCTAATAATAATATATTTAAATATAATAATAATAATAATTTTTAAATTAAGTCAATAAAAGTCAATAACAGTAATATCTTACCAGTAACTTTCAATCCGTTGTCTTGGATCTGCCAATAAGCGAAATGAGATATGCTCCTTGCCAATTGTGTAATATAGTGACGTATGTGCGCAGTACGATTTCAGGCAGATCGTCCCTCCAGATGTTTTTTGAGTATCATCATCCAACCAGGGAACAGTTAAATTACAATAATTTTCTATTTGTCGCAACACTGTTCCATTTGACGCTGTTAATACTTTACTGCTTCCCAATTTCATTAGGTTATTTTTATTCTAACTTTTATTTATATTATTTTATTATAATTGTGATTTCTTTTTAATTATTTTTAACTTTTTGAAATTATATTTTGAACTAATAATTAAGAAGCTTACTTCAAGTAACAAAATATATTGTCTGATACACTTTCATAATCACTTATTGACTGCTTTACATTTATTTATTTATACATTATATTTCAATCGTTTACCGCTTATAACTAAAATTAGCTTTTAATCACTTGTTACTGATTATTGAATTAAATACAGATATTGTGTAAATTATTGTTTTATATCAGAGTGTGATACATTCTATTTTAATTATATTCAATTTCTGTTATATTATATTCTTTATTATATTCCACACCCACATATTATACATAAACATATATAGGAATATAACTGATCACACACATTAATGAATGTCACTCACACATATACTGAGGTTTACATATAGATGTGTAGGACAAATATTAGTAGTCAATGCATAGTCATTCGATCGTAACAGGCCTTTGTCTTATTACATACGTTGCTTTGTAACACGATGTTAGGCCACTGATGAAGCCCTAACCGGCGAAACGTTTGGAATAAACCTGAAATTAAGAAGTCAGACAAAGTTCTGTATCTTTCTCAAAATAAAATATTTATTGTACTAGTACTTTCGACCATAGGTCATCATCGGGGATAATAATAATAAACAATAACTATTCTATTATTCTATTCTATTATTATTATTATTAATAATTTTATTTTATTATTCTATTCTATTATTCTATTCTATTATTATTATTAATAATAAACATGTAGGCTTATAAATGGGATGTTGATGAGATTTGATGTGGATATAAATTGTAATTAATGGTAAAACTTTAACCAGCACCAGATGGACTGCTTTTATTGATTTTTATTTGATAAAGAAAAGACCTTTTATATCGGCTCTGCACATCTGTCAAGAATAATAGATTATAGCATGATTATAGGAAGCAATTGAATAAATGGAAACAAAGGGATTACTAGACATATGATGCTCTAAACACCAATACGGTACTAATTAATAAAAACTTTAATACCCAATTAACAGGATGGAAAATGTACTAGATATTCTACAGCAAGGTTCCAACATTTTACTACCGAGATTCTGTTTAAAGCCAGGCTGAGGAGGAACCGGGAGAAACATTGTATTATGAAATAATATTGGGAACATGTAAAACTATTTATATTTTCTTACTATTACATTTCTGCTGATTTAATATTGAAAAAAATTGTACTTGCATTGCAAATTATTGCTATAAATTAGTTATAATTGTTTCTTAGTTATTATAAAGAACGTATGTCATCGTTGTATTAAAAAAAACATGCCAAAAACCCCCAAGGGCACAATTTCACGTTTTTGGTTAGTGTCCCCTGAATAGGGTACGCCTATTGAATTCAGGGACACCCTTATTAAGGGGACACTTTTTTAGTCCCTAAGGTGTCCCATTAATTGGCGTTCTATTGTACTTGCAGTGCAGTAAATCTAAAACACAATTTTCACGTTTATTCTCAAGAGGGGCGCTTATTCAAACGGGGCGCTTATCCAAACGGGGCGCTTATTCGCGCGAGTACGGTATTCGTTATCGATATGTCGAATGCTTGTGCGTGGTAATACCTTGGTAATACCATGGTAATACAGTACCGGTACTTCTATTGTGATGCGAAATACGCATATTATAATAGAAGGAAAGAACAATCAACGTCATCACCAATATTACTTTTTCGAACAAGATGGGAGAGATTTTATGTCCGGCCTTTAACTGGTGAAAAAGAACAAACTTTATTTTATCGTAAAAAAGTTTGACATAGTCTTGGCCCTGTCTCTTATACACATCTAGATGCTAAAATTAGATGAGTTGTAGATATCATTTTAGAACTTATTATGGTTGATCGGACATCGTGACGTAATCATTTTGCCATCTGAATTTAAAAAAAATGAATTTTTATTTAAGAAATCATTATTTTTATATTGATTTAAGCGTATCTTGCTTATCTTTGCTTGATCGCCTTCCACCTTTTAGTATGTTATAGCTGAGACAATTCTGTTTTATAATTGTGTTCTTTATTTTTTCATTTTGATGACGTCATCATGATTCTCGCGATCATGGCTTCTTCCATAGCTTACGTTTTTATTTTAAACCATATTGTACTGATTATTTTTTTTTGTGTTCTATGGAAGTAAATAAATGTCTTTTGAATGAATGAAAGAATGAATTCATCATGAATGTTTCTTTTTTGACCACCCTCATTTTTCTTCCTTTAAATCTTATGACGCCCAACAGAGGGTGGCAAACTGGAGTGAACACTACCAGACAACTTCGTATGCTATTACCGACCGACAGGCACTTTAATCTACACTTGACACAAGTATTATAATACTTCATATCAAATGTCAACTTCGTGTGCCATTACCGTCCTCGTGCGTATCATGACGTTTTTAATTTTAAAATTCACAAAATCTCTTTTTGAATAAGGTAAAGCACTTTTGAGGCCATTGTCAATAATATGCTTGCGGTAGCACCATATAAATAAAGTGTATATTAAGAAGGGGACACCACCGGGACCAAGTGTCAAATGAATAGGGATTTTTGTCATATTTCCGTGCAATGATGACGTGGCGTCTATAATTTTATTTTAATTGGCCAAAGAATGAGTTACAAGTGAATTATCTAATTTATAATACTAATAATGCAATGCAAAAACAATTAATTTATGATATTAAATCAGTAGAAATGTAAATAAAACAACAAGAAATCCTCGTGGTTAATGGTCAAAAGTGACAAGATTGTTATATGAATTATTATGCTCAGGCATATCAATGCCCACTCTAGAATTTGAGGGGAAACAATTCTGGTTAGATGTATACTGCTCTAAAGGTGTTAAAATAAAAATTTTAATGAATTTAATTTTTTTTGCGACTACTGTAGTTGTTTTGATACAAAAAAAGTAAGTGCCATCTTCAAAGGGGTTAAAATGTATTGATTTGATCATTTAGCACACTAAGAATGTGTTCTCGTTCCCTTATTAGGGGTGTCTCTTTAGGCGAGACTTTTTTGATACCTTGTTTAGCAAACCCGCCGACTACAAATATTGATGATTTCGAATAAAAATAAAATTTTATTTTTCGCCAATTAACGCACCCGTCGCTACGAAAAAGTGGAAATTTCAGAAAAAATAATAATAATAAAAAAAAAAAATTGTTACGACCTCCGCTGTCTTATCTCCATAGATAAGATGTGTATAATTCTATCATCCTCATCCTATTTTACATTCACCAATAACATTTCATTTTTATTTTCTTCTCCGTATGGATGATTTTGGCAAAACTATTTGCTAAATAAGAAAACACAATTTTACTTTTATTTTTCCTCCGATAATCTTTTAAAAAATAAGTACGGTACGTGCAGCGCGTTTGGTGGGCCAGGCATCATTTCGTATTAATTCTCCTGACGCAAAACGCCATGGGAATTATCTTATTGTAATTATTCACTTATTGTTATTATGATTATCATTATTTTATGCAACAGTAATCCAGACTAACGTATCTACCTTACTATTTTAATTTACAGTATTATGAATATTTTACTTTATTTATTTATCTATTATATATTTATTTATTTTTTTATATTTATTATTTATATATATGTATNGTGTGTGTGCATAAATATATATATATATATATATATATATATATACATATATATATATACATATATATATAATTTATTTTGTCATTATTATTATTAATATTATTATTATTGCTGTTATTATTGTTCTTATTGTTATTATTATTATTATTATTATTATTATTATTTGTTTTAACTGGTGGTCATGTCTTAAAGTTTGGTTTACAAACTTATTTTTACCTCCACCGCAGTTGTTTTTTTTTTCTTTTCTCTCTCTGCTTTTGTTTAGAAAATGTAATTTTAATTGTAATATTTACCGTTAATTTATATTTTATATGTGTGTGGTAAAAACAATAAAAACAAACTAACAAGTACTCGAAACAAGGAATAAAAAAAGTCTCGCCTTAATAAGGGTTGGCCGTAATGTTAAAAGATATTCCCCTCTTCACGGAAAAGTGTTCCCTTAATAGGGGTGTCCCCTAAATAGGGGTGTACCCCAAAGGAAGACTTCTACTGCAGTTCTGAAAAGAAATGTCGCCTTTGTTTAGTCCCAACGTCCTGGTTGAGTTGTTCCGCCCGGGCGCTTAAAATATTTTTGGATCTGTTTGAGGGGCGCTTATTCAAACGGGGCGCTTATGAAAACAGTTGAAATTGAGGGGGGGCGCTTATGGAAATCGATGAGAATTAGAAAATTCAAGCGGCAGTTTTTTTTAATCGAAGATAAACGAATGGTTTTGGTGAAGAAAAGGCAGGGCCTAATCGTCGAGAGAGCATGGCTCATGACAAGAATGTTGGGTTATTTACACAACAGCAGATGTAATTAGTGATAGTGTTGGTGGTGGTGGTAAGCGTGTTGGCCATCTGCTAATTCAGATTAGCAAGATCATTGCAGGGTTTCTTGACTGAAAAATGGCCATACGGTATTTTAAATTTTAGATATTAAATACTGTAGTTATAAATCCAAAAAGGGTAGCAAGAAACAAGAATGGGATTCTAAATATGCATCAAAACTGAAAACCATGTTACATTTAATAGAGACTGATAGACCGCCTGATGGATAGATGTACTGACCGACCGACCGACAATGCTAAGATAGGTGCGAATAGTTGACGCAGACAATTAAGTTGGTGATCTACTGTACTGTATGATTGAATTTGTTAGGAATCGAGGGCGCTTAATCAAACGGATGCTTAAGACAATTTTCACGTTTATTCTCAAGAGGGGCGCTTATTCAAACGGGGCGCTTATCCAAACGGGGCGCTTATTCGCGCGAGTACGGTATTCGTTATCGATATGTCGAATGCTTGTGCGTGGTAATACCTTGGTAATACCATGGTAATACAGTACCGGTACTTCTATTGTGATGCGAAATACGCATATTATAATAGAAGGAAAGAACAATCAACGTCATCACCAATATTACTTTTTCGAACAAGATGGGAGAGATTTTATGTCCGGCCATTAACTGGTGAAAAAGAACAAACTTTATTTTATCGTAAAAAAGTTTGACATAGTCTTGGCCTAGGCCTATGTATGAAGGGACTGTAGTTCTAAATAAGCCCCAACGTGTGGGAAAGGAAATAATAGCTCAGAATGGATACACCTAAGGCTCAAAAAGCCATTTCACCAGATGATGCTGGCATGAAGTTTTCAGGTAGGATGGTTACGCCATCAATTTCAAATGAGAAGCCAGAGCTCGATATATCACCAACTTGTGAAAATAGTCTTGCAACTACATACACGGCAAGTTCTATTAACCAAAAAGGAAATAGACCAGAAATAGAAGTTAAACTTGGCGATATAATAACTACAAGACTGAATCAGGTAGGACCTCTTGTTAAATAATAAATTTATCATTTAAATAAAAGGGACCTATAAAAATAATTATTTTTTTATGAAGGGATAAGATTAGATTTATTTCAATCGTCATAGGCCTAGACCTACATGATACAATATAGGC